TCACAGCTGATAAGCTAAATTGCATTTCAGAGAATATAGGAAAGTACAAAGCCATAAATGTTGACCAGCTCTGATTTTTTAATAACTTTTAGCATATGGGAATGGGATTAGATAAATTAGTAGAATATCTAGAAGGAAAGCTTGAAAAATTCCCTCTAACTGTTAAGTACTTTACTGAGAAAGGCTATTCAATAGATAAGATTAAGCTTCTTTTTTGAAAGGGCATTTTCCCATACGACAGGACAAATGCATGGAAAAAATTTGATAGAACAAGCCTTCCTATCTAGAAAGGACTTCTATTTACTACTTAGTCAGTAAAATATTAGTAAAAAGAATTACAAACATGCTCAAAAGGTATGGCAAATATTCAAGATGAAGAACTTTGGAAAATATCATGATCTTTATCTTGAGACAGATGTACTTTTACTTGCAGATGTTTTCATGAACTACACTATCATGTGCTTGAAAAATGATGGCTTAAATCCCTCTCATTATGTTTCAGCATTTGGAATGTTTAATGATTCTCTTTACAAAAGTAGTGGGCAGAATTCAAACTCATAACAAATATGGATGAATATCTAACAGTAGAAAATGGCATTCGTGAAGGCATGACAATAACAAGTTATCGATACGCTAAAGCAAATAATTCATAATGTTCAGACTATGAGTCCAGCAAGCCGAATTCCTGAATCATGTATGAAAATATGAATGCTTTATATTCAGGTGCAATGATCCAATTAAAGCTCTGAACAGTTTGGGCTAAACTAGGAAACCGATCTGAAACCAGCTTAAAATTTGGTTTGGTTTGGTTTGGTTCAGGTATTAGAACTGAAAAACTAGTGGTTCGGTTCAGTTTAATCCAATTTTTTATAAAAATGTGAAAAATCAAATAGCTGTTCATCTAGTGATTATACAAAGTTGAGCCATATATCATTGGATTCATCTCAACGAGACATGTCGAATGGCGGTAAAATCATGTCTCTAGCATCAATAAATCACATGTTAATCCATGCTAAATGATTTATAAATAATTGGAATTAGCAAGCTATCTATTAGTGCTAGAGATATGATCTTTGCACCATTCGACGCGTCTCAGTGAGACGAATCCAATGAATATAAATTTGTCTGTATACGACCACTGGATGGCGAATAATGTCAAATTTCGCATTTTTTTAAAATTTTTGAATGTTAAAAATTAAAAATTCCGATACATGAATTTATTCATCATCTAATAGTTGTACAAATATGAATTAGGACTCATTGGATTCATCTCGATGAGATGAGTCGAATGGTGGTGAGATCATGTCTCTAACATCAATAGATCGTAAATTAATTCATGCTAAATGATTTATAAAAAATTGGCATTAGCAAGCTATCTATTGATGCTAGAGACGTGATCTTAACACCATTCATCTCGTTTCATCAAAACGAATCCAATGAGTTCTAATTCATATTTGTATGACCATTGGACGATGAATAAATTCATGTATCGGAATTTTTAATTTTTAACGTTCAAAAATTTTAAAAAAATGCAAAACTTGACATTATTCGCCATCCAGTGGTCATATATAGACGAATTTATATTCATTAAATTCGTCTCACTGAGATGCGTCGAATGGTGCTAAGATCATGTCTCTAGCACCGATAGATGGCTTGCTAATTCCAATTGTTGTTAAATTATTTAGCGTAGATTAACTTGTGATCTATCGATGCTAAAAATATGATCATACTGCCATTCGACGTGTCTCGTTGAGACGAATCCAATGATATATGGCTTGACTTTGTATGATCACTAGATGGATGGCTATTCGATTTTTCGCATTTTTATAAAAATCAGATTAAATCGAACTGAACTGCCAGTTTTTCGGTTTGGTTCTTATAGATTTCAGCTCTAATCTGAACCGTCTATAATCCAGACTAAACCGACCCATTCAGAGCTTTAGACCCAATACATGCCTACAGAAATTTTAGGTAAAGTAATACCAGAGAAAATACCAGATATCCAAAGCATAGTGTCAGATATAGAAATAGGCTATATATTAGAAGTTGATCTAGAAGCCCCAGTGCACTTACACGATTTCTTTACAGATTATCTGTTAGCATTCGAAAAGCAGTTAATTCCAGAAAACTGGCTTAATCTATATAACGAAAGATTGGTGAAAGATAAAGAAGTTGGAAATGGAAAATATGTGTCTGAAGAAAAGCTAGTCCAGACCCTTTTTATTAAGAAGAATTATGTAGTTCACTATCGAGCTTTTCAGACATATATGAAGTTCAGGATGAAGGTTACAAAGATTCATGGTACTCTTAAATTTCGGCAGTCTCCATAGATGAAAGACTATATTGAGAAAAATATTCGCAAGCGTAAAATTGCTAAAGCTAATGGGAACGAGTTTGGAGTCATGTATTATAAGCTAAAGAACAATGCAGTCTTTGGCAAACAAATGGAAAATGTTTGTAAACATATGAGAGTAGAATTACTTTGAACAGAAGAGGATAAAAAAATCAGACGCCTAGTAAGTTCACCATTGTATGTAGACTTTAAAGTATTTGAAGGAGGAATTACAGCAGTTCATATGTTAAAAAGTACAGTAACTCTAAATAAACTAATCTATGTAGGGCAGGCAATTCTCGATATTAGCAAGACTATGATGTTCAACTTTTGGTATGGTTACATAAAGCCTCACTATGAAGATAAGGCCTGTCTACTTTATACAAATACAGACTCACTCATAATGTGGATAGAAACTGAAGACATATATAAAGATCAAGCAGAAAGACCAGACATTTTTGATCTTAACTATTCAGGAGACTTGTTTCTAATAAAGAATGAAACAAAAGGGGATCCAATAGGCGAATCAGTATGCTTAAAGCCAAAAATGTATTCAGTCCTTCCAGCAGGCCATAATCCTAAAACTCCTAATGACCCAGATTCTGAAGACCCTAAAAAGAAGCATGGTATTTAAAAGGCAAAGGATGTTAAGAAATACGTGGTCAAAAGGGAGTTTTGACATGATAAGTTCCTAGAATGTCTTAGGAACAAGAAACTAACCTGGCATGATATGTATGGTTTATGCAGTTATGATTATCAAATATATCTGGAGAGGGTAAATAAGATAGGGTTGAATCCATATGTTAACAAGCATTAGATCTTACTTAATGGGATTTGAACTCTCCCTTATAGACATTAGCGAATTGAACTATATAAACGCCTGATAGCATCTGAAATATTTCCTAAGGAAGCAGAAGAAAGGACTATGAAAGTTAAACTTTATGTCAAGACATAGATGTTTTATAACAAATATTTTTTTCAGATAAAAAAAACTAAAGAATATATTTTTATTAATTAAAGTTTTTCTATCGTTATAGTAGAAACATTACAAAAATGGTCGATCATAAGGATATAGAACTTGCGCAAGTTAAAGTCATAAAAACTGCATTGCGAAAGGGCAAAAAATATAATAATCTTGCAAAAAACTATGGAGACTATCTAAAGAAATTGCGAGCTGAAAAGAATCTAAATGACTATATTAAGACAGTTGCAATCAAGATGTTTTCTAACAAAGAGGCATACACTCTAAAGCTAGAAAATTATCGCAAAAGATATGCAGATAATGATCTGTATGCCAGCCTAAAGGAATTATACGAGCTTTATTATTATATAGCTAAAGAGGAGAATCACGAAAGATTAAATGATGAAATAGAACAAATGCTCAGAGCAATGTCAATCTAATTGTCTTCTGGCAAAGCTTTTTTATAAGCTAGACTAGTGAATGGTGAATATATAGGGAAGACAAGTTACAGCATTAACATGAATATTATATATTTTTTTTTGGTGTATAAGCAAACGGGTAGGGAAGTCGCTATGTATACATTAATATTATTTTTTCAATTAAGGATATAGGCTCCTATAACAAAGTATGGGGTAGAGTTCCGAATGGATCAGGTTAGGTCAGGTTAATTGATAAACCTGACCTGAAATTTTTTTTCAAGTCAGGTCAGGTCAGGTTATATCAGGTTGTCTGTTTGACCTGACCTGACCTGAAACCTGAACTTTTTTTTTTAATATAATATTATGAAAAAAAACGTTTTAGCAACGTTTTTTATTAAAATATTGAAAAAAAATATTGCAAAATGTTTTTTTTAATATAACATTATGAAAAAAATGTTTTCGCAACGTTATTATTGAAATATCAAAAAAAAAATGTTACAAAACATTTTTTTAATATAATATTATGAAAAAAACGTTTTCGCAACGTTTTTTCTCGAAATATTGCGATTCAACATTTTTATATTAAAATCATATAAAAAAGTGAATCCCAATACTGCAATTCACTTTTNGATTGTCTAACATTTGAATGACTGGTCAGAAGAAATATTCTAAGTTCTAAACATAGATTATTTATTAAACCATGTACTATAACTGTCTCTTATACACATCTAGATGTGTATAAGAGACAGTCGCAATATCGCAACTCACTTTTATTATATAGAATTAATATAAAAAAGTGAATCGCAATACCGCAACTCACTTTTTTTATATAGAATCTATATAAAAAAGTGAATCGCAATACTGCAACTCACTTTTATTATATAAAATCAATATAAAAAAGTGAATCGCAATACTGCAACTCACTTTTATTATATAGTTGAATCAATAGTTTCAGGTCAACAGGTCAATCAGGTCAGAATCTTCATACCTGACCTGAATTTTTTTCAAAAATCTCATACCTGACCTGAATTTCAGGTCAGGTCAGGTCAGGTTACCTGAATTTGGCTGACCTGTTCGGAGCTCTAGACATTTCCTTCAAAGAAGAAAATGAAAAATTTAAGCTCATCAATAAAAAAATTAATGTTAATATCAAGGACGAACTCAAAGGTGCAGAGTTGAAACTACTTTCAAAGATTAACAAACTTTCCCTTCTAGCCAGCCAATGAACACATACATATAATCGTACAGCATTCTGTTAAGATGAAAGAAGTTCACTGCACCGCAACGTATGGGTGATACAAGCCAGAAAAATTCTTGTGGACAGTAACTCGTAGGCAAATAACCTTATCGGCTTTGAAGACGAGGCTTCATACTTATTTCACTTTTCCAGACGGAACTGAGAATGAACATATTGTTATTAATCATGAGAGCGGAAAGGAACGTATTCGTTTGGTCGATGATGAGGACTTGGCATATATAATCTGGTCTCAGGGATTCAAAGTAGACCTCCCAATTGTAATGGACACATGTAAGTAATGTTTAATATTAGCTATATTTTTTATGATATTTACGCAACAGATACTAATAGCTTTTATCTTATATTTCCACAACAGCTCAATAACCATTCTCCTTGTGGAGGTTTGATAAGATGAAGACACTCTTCGACTTGAAGGCAGACGATTATAATGAACTACCTACTTTTGCTGGAAGTGTTAAGGATACGCCAGAAAATATCTGAAAATAAGTTATAGATGAATTTTTAAGATTGCACAAGACATCCTAACATATTACTAACGTCAACAAGGCTACCTATTGTGAATATATTTCCCGTATCATTTATGGTGTGACATCAATATATGGAGGTGAAATTAAGGTTTATTCTCAGTATAAAATCTCAGAAAGTCACGGTAAAGATCCTGTTGATTGGGCTATAAAGATAGGAAATATCATTATCACAATTACTGAAGTGAAAAAAAGGACATCAATTAAGGAATTGCACAGAATGCAATTCAACTGCAGACATCTATCCAGTGCAATTCTAAAAAATGAACTTATGATACGGCAGATTTGCAGGAAGACGTAATGTACGGGATTGTATCAACTGCTGTGGATTGGATAATAATCAAGCTAGTTTCGTCTAGCTTTGATAATAACAGTAAAGGAAAAGTGGATGTATTGTTAAGGTCATTATTTCCCTCTTCATTACCAATCAACAAAGCTATCATATTGACCCATAACGATTTAGTAGAACCTATCAAGGACTTGTTTGGGTAAATCAAATGGGTATTTGATAGTCAAATTGAATCACAGGATTTATCGAAGTGGGTAAAAATAGAATAATAGGATAAATTAGATAAACATCATATATCATGGGCTAAGTCCCAAACTATGTATTTATTTTTTCACATGTAATAATAAAAAATTTCTTGGCAAAACTGTGAACAATATTCACGATCAGCCAAAATGGCCTACATATTTTTCTGATTTTGAATACTAGTATTATAGTCTATAGAGCATTAAAATATTATTATGTCATCTGAACTTGATTCATTGAAACAACGCATCATTGAGCTTAAGGCCAAGAATGCTGAAGTTAAGGCCAAATATATCAAGGTTATATATGAGAATGCAAAGATTAAAGCTGAGAATGCAAAGTTAAGATGTACTTTAGAAGAACATGAAGCTAGATTTATGAGACTAGAGCAGAGAGATAAAGAAAAGACCAACTTTATTGCCAAAATGGATGATGATATCAAGGAAATCAAACAATAATCGGCCAATGCCAGCTCTGTCGAGAACTCCAACAATGTTGTTTGCCTGGGTAAACTAGAAAGATGACAAATACATCTGATAACACATTTAATTCTAATGTATGCAAACCTATTCGCACAAAAACTAAGTCATTAGAGTATAAAGAGACAGATGATTTCTTGGATGAGATACATAAGAAAAGGATTAGTGATAAGATAAGGCAACGTAACAAAGAGAAGAAAATTCAGTGTGAGTCAACTGTTCCTTCTGACTTGTATTACAGATAAGAATGGGTCTGCAAATAATTTTCAAATTCTGCAATATTGCGGATTTTGGAGTTGAATTGCAGTTAGTAGCCTAGGACCCCAAAAAATACATATGGAGGTCATAAATGATCGGCAAGATTTTGGCCTAAAATAAGCAACTTTTCAGGGCTGGAATTATGATAATGCTGGTCAGTATCAAAACGGACAATAAAATTTAGGCTGGCACTATCTAAAAAAGGCAAGATTTTCATGAAAATTTAGATTCTTTTTAAGCAAACTCAAATGTGACTTTTTTATGTATTTTTCGGGGTCCTAGTAGCCTGCAATTCTGCAATTCTAATTGCTACTCATAATTGTCAGTTTCGTATATTTATAAAAATGCCAGAACTATTATTTCCAGCATTTTTTTATTTTTTTTTTATTAAAATTGCTGGAACTATTAGTTCTGGCATTTTTTTTTGCAGTTATAATAAGAGAAAATATTTCTGGCAGTTTTACAAATTACCGATCTATTTTTTTCTAAAAAATAAAATCATTTTTTTTTTTAAATTTTGTTAATGAAAAATGATTTTTTTTTTATGATTAATAATAAGAGGAAATATATTTTTTAGTAGTTAAATTAAAAAATTTATATTTCATTAAAAAAAATTAGTTTTTTTTGCGGATATTCCACAAATCTGCAAATATTCCGCAATCCTACAAATATTTTGCAATTGAATTGCAGTACTTTGGATATTTGTGAATTTGCGAAATATTTGCAGAATTGCAGATAATTGCGGATTTGCGGATCTGTGGATTTTAGATTTAAAAATCTGCAATGTTCTGCAATACCGTAAATCACAATTATTCTGCAATTACATATTTGCGGCACCATCCTTAATTATATTAACAACAATTGGAAATTAAAAAATCTCTTACTTGATTTAATTCCTGTAAATGGTTCTCATACAGCTGGGTTAATTACTAGTAAGCTTTTACAAATTCTTGAAGAGTTTAGTATCAGTAATGATATTCTTGCATTAACTACAGACAATAGAAGCAATATGATAGCATGTGGTAATCAACTAGCAACTGAATTAGATCAGGAGTTTAATAATATGGCTTTTACTCATTACAGATGTGCTGCACATATTATAAATTTAGCAGTAAAAGCAGGAATGAGTCATAAGTGTAGTTTATAATACACTAATGTTGGAAATGAAATAAAAAAACTTTGTCAATTTGTTGTTAAAATCAAGAATTCACCATTATTTTTGGATAAATTATCAGAAATTTGTACCCTTAAAAAAGTTAAATTTCTTAAACCAATTTTAAATATAGACATTTGCTGAAATTCCACATATTTTATGATTAATAGACAAATCTTAATGCAGGGTGTTTCAGAATTACTTACAACAACAAATGTTGAAGAACTTGAAGATTTATTTCCAACAATATCTGAATGGCAACATATTAAGGTATTTTTTATTTTATAAATTATTATTTATTTTATTTTATAATTATATATTTATTAATTATTATTTTTTTTTTACAGGAATTAGCAAAGGTATTAGAACCTACTGTATGTATGAAGCAACCAATTTACTATAATCATCAAAAAATCCTACACAAGGTGATATAAGATTTGTTTTTAATGAAATGTTTAAAAAATTAGATCATTATCAAAGAGGAAATCACCATACACAAAGGGCAATAGCATCAGCAATTTGTAATAAATTGAAAGCTTATTGGGACAAATATTTGAATCAATTTTCCATTACTTCTTCAATATTAGATCCACGCTACAAAACCACATTATTTAGTCATAATGATATAACTGAAATTATAAGTAAATTACAAGAATTATATTTGTCATATTTACCCTTAAATAATCAAACCATACCATTAGCACCAGCACGATCATCTCGTGATTATTTCCTTAATTTACTTAATCCAAATAATATTCGTCAAGAAGTATCGCATGATGAATTAGATCAATTCTTAAATTCTCCAGTAGATAGTGGACCGAACTATACATGCTGCCCAAATTATTTTGGGATGCCATAATTCATTCGGTTTATATATAATTTACTATGTAAAGTGCCAAAATAATTTGGGATGCCATAATTGAATTTGGGATTTTACTTATAATTACGGCAGTCCAAAATAATTTGGGTGGCATGTATAGACCGAACCGTTAACATCCCTACACCTGATATGTAAAAAAGGTAACTTTAATCACATGATTGTGAACCAATGATATCTTTCCATGTGATATACTGTATTACATATAAATTAATCGCGTGAAGGAAAAGACGCGTGCTGAGAATTTGGTCTTCTTTTTTACTACTTTTGCTTGCATTTCTTTTATCCCTATGTTGCATGAATACTTCGAACGTAAATATTCCGAATGGAATATCTTGGGATTCCTGAACAAGTGTGAAATAGAACCTTTCATTCAGAAGATGTCATTACATTTCGTGTCTTGAAGCTATAGCTAATCAAGAAGAAGGTGGTAGGCACGATAAAGCACAGTATTTGCTCGATTGATATAGAAAGGCGAGTATAAGCTTTTTTTATTGGAAATACAGGCGGGAATTGATAGCAAGGGATCCTCTGAGATTTTTTGTTATTGGCGGTATCGAGGCGCAGGTTATCCTCCGAGATCGTCTGTTGTTCAAGACTAAAAGTCAACTCGGTACCGGCCCTGTTGGAGTCCAGATGATCCTCCGAGATCGTTTGACGTTCAAGGTTTCTAAGCTGATCTGACAGACGGATGGGGAATTATAAAAATTGGAGTGTATTAGTCAAAATTGTTGCTAATGATCGACTTTTTCATGCTAGGAACCTAAGCCCGACTACAAAATAGCTAGAAGATGGGAAGAGGAACACGTTAATGTTAATAGACAGATTCATCTCTATAACCCGACACTCGTGAAAGTAAACAACGGAATCGGAACTATAGGAAATATAGAAACGGTAAATGGGTTTTCTGCTGGATCAAAGAAGGAGGTTCCTTATTTGCAGGTGCGCTTTTTTTTTTTTGCTAGAAGTTAAGAATCGACAGCTTGACAAAGCAGTTTTAACTCTTTCTTTGTATTTAGTCTGATGATGATGATTTTCAACCTGCCATATCTACCACTCAAAAGCGGAAAAATTTATCCTTGAAAAGGGTTGGTAAATGTATAAAAACATTGCCTTGAATTTTATGGTTAGCATTTTTTAATGACTTTTAATGACTTATTATATCTACAGGATAAAAAATCGAATGTCCCAGCTAAAAAGGTGTATATAAAATGACCTATGATAAGGATTTGTTCACATGAATTCCTCTAAAAATTTTTTATTTGTGTGAATAGGTCAAAGCCACCAACAGAGATGAAGAAAACTTAGATCTATTCTTTAACAGTAACAAAGCCAAAGGATCAACAAGCTCTGATTTTTTGAAAAATATGGCATCATCAAGTTCGCAATACTTGGAAATGACTAACGGCACAAGCGAAGTTAATAGTTCCAGGCCATATACTCTACCTCATCAAATACAGTCTGCACCAAGGAATCAAGACTTGATCACACCACACAAACCAACTCTTTATGAGCATACTGCGAAATATTTGTCAAAACATTTTTCAATGAGTATTAACCAAGATTGTGTTATTATGAAAGCAAATCAAGTTGTAACAATTCCATCGGAAATTCGCCATTGGCTTATTGACTCATTTTCAGTAAGTAAAGATAGTTTATTCTGATGTTATGTTTAAGGTATAAATATATTAACGATTTCCTTATTAATTAGTCCGAAAAGGATAAATTCAAATCTTCTATTATAACTTCTTTCAACCCCGATCATCCATTTAGAAAAATTTGCGAAATTATTCTATATGATTTGTGAGTATACTAGGACCTTATCCTCTTTTTTTGACATTACTGACTGACTCACATTGTTTCAACTCAGTTTCTCAATGTCTAGCGAAGCTACTCTAAATCGAGATATTGGAGAGAGAAAGTATACTGTAAACAGTATAGTTCCTCTGTTTAAGGCCGTTGAATCAATATATCGAGAATATGTTTTCAATTGGATCGAAGTTCATAAAAGATGTCAAATCTGTATTTCCAGAATTCGATTTTACTTTAAGCAAAGTTGATGGAATTGGTTTCAAAACTGGAAGCAACAAAGAATTAGTATTTATTGAGATCTCCGGTGGACCAGAAAGTCCTGTTGAAAAACATGTTAAAGAAGACACGGAAAAGTTGATTAAAGAGGCAATGTTTGGCTTAATTTCCCTTCTTCGTGATTACTTGGATAAAAACGCCGAATATGCAAGGAACATATGCACTTACATGGTGCAAGGCATCGGTAATGTACAGTATTTACTTATTGTACCAGTTATTTTGAACATTATTTATCTTACTTCAATTATTTATATTAGGTGACAGGATTACGCTTAGCAAACTTCAGCTCGATCAAAAACACTTTTATAAAGTCTTGCAGATTAAGTTGGCAAAACTTCCATTTTCATTTGATGAAGTCGAAAAATACTTAGAAGTTTTTGAATTATTATACGCATTAATTGTGAGTATTCTTTATACACTTTATTAGATCTTATGACATTTTTTTTTAGTCTAATTTATATTTTTATTCACAGAGCGAATTGAAAAATACACAAAAGGAGTTGAAAAAACTAACGTGCTCAAATTCAGCTGTAGATCAGCCAACAGTGAGAAGTTGGTTATGGGTACTGAACAATATTGCAACGTGGGAAGGTGTTGGAATAACATATGAAGGTTAATATGTTTTGTTTTAACCATTTGAATGTGAAGCAAAGGCAAGACATGTTATAAGTTTGATACTGTTATATGGCAGTTATGAAATATAATAAAGATTTTGCTTTGTGATTTTAACAGTCATTATTTTAAATTTTTTTTTTGCCGATTGCCATGAATCATTGATAAATGTGCAGTTAATGTTAGAAAAATTATTACAAGTTACCGGTTATGCTTTGCGAAGGAGGAAAAAAATCGAAAAAGTTTATAGGCCATTCAAAAGCATTGGTAAATCAAAAATAGTACGAATTAGATCTTTTCCGGATTAGATCTATTCTTCCATCATTCATCTTAAATCTAACTGCAGATGAAACCAAATATGCAATGGCTGAAATTTTAACGCATAAGGTTTGATGAGCTCGGACAAGCTTATCCAGCCTCAGCCATCATTTTTAAGAGAATATTTTTCTTTTGAAGACTAGCTAAAACGATTTAATAAAGTTCTGCCCACAATTCGGGCTTATATTTTATTTGTTTTGTGGATGTGTATGAGTATGTGTAATATATGAATATGTGAAGTACTGCGCTATAAATTATCACTTGACATACTGTATTATGTCACATGATTCATTAATTCTTCTGCACAGTTTTGTCGAGCTCGGACAAGCTTGTCCAGACACTACCATCAAAAAATAATCTAGTCATATGCACAGTTATTCCGAAAGATAAATTTAACCTGAGCTTATAATGCGTGTTCATCAGAAATATAGGTTTCGGGAGATAAATTTAACCGGATGCTGATCCAGCTTCTGCTCAATTTTGACGAGCTCGGACAAGCTTGTCCAGACTCTACCATCAGAAAAAATAATATTTTTTGCACATGCATTTTATTCGTAATCATTTTCTCGAATTCCTATTATGCTTATCCGGCTAAAGAAAAAATCCGAAATCTGATTGGCTGATCATCTCGTGATTTATCGAAATTCGCCAGCTCTTGGAACACTCCTAGAACTATTGAGGAACTGGCAGGGAGATCTCATGTAAATATAAAATTAATCCGAGATATGACTCTGATATGCTTGTAATTGAATAAAAATGAATCTGATATTTTATTATAATATAGTTGTTACAAACTGTTATAAATCACTATAAATTGATAAAAAACAGTGAAATTGCTATAAATCTCTTAACCAGTTAAATCTGTATGGTGATATTGTCTAATATAAGTTGATAAAGAATCAATATAACATACCGAAATTGCTAAAACCACTATAAATCAATAAAAAATTATTATATTCTATTATAATCTACCAAAACACTAATATGGATTTAGATAGTAAAACCTATTCTAACTGAAGCTAATTGAACTACACCATAAAGATGTAGACTCTGGAGAATATACAAGAATAGTTGGTGCAATATTGCTTTTAGCAGAAAGACATGATCATGAAACACCAGAAATGTGATGTTCTCGTATTCGTGATCTATTTAGGAAAATACTAGAAGAGAATCCAAGAATCCTTTCTAAGAATAGATATAATATTACAATGTATGGAAAGCTATATGAAGATGATAGGATTCATAATCGTCCAACCAATTATATACATCAGGAAATTTGTTTAGGCGTAATTTAGTGTAATATTTCGGAGGTGGTGTAAAATTTCGAAATATTACACTAAAAACGTAATATTACAAAAGTTTACGCTCTTAAATTTGAATAATTATCATAATTTAAGAATATCTCACTATCTACTGATCCAATCAAGACGATCTATAGCTCATTGGAATCAGCTCATCAAGACGAATCGAATGGTAGTAAAATCGCATTTCTACAGTTGATAGAACGCTCTATAGTATGCAATAAAGTTTTAAATTAATAGAAAGTCATCTATCGAACGTAGAGATATGATTTTACCACCATTCGATTCGTCTTGATGAGCTGATTCCAATGAGCTATAGATCGTCTTGATTGGATCAGTAGATAGCGAGATATTTTTAAATTACTATTATTATTCAAATTTAAGAGTGTAAACTTTTGTAATATTACGTTTTTAGTGTAATATTTTGAAATTTTACACCACCTCCGAAATATTACACTAAATTACGCCTAAACAAATTTCCTGATGTATATTGCAGTATATGTGACTCCTTAGTTTTCATACCTGCAAATGGTCATTTTGAGGATTGCTATCAAGATAATCACTTGAAGAAATGTATTTCTGGAAATACTATTTCAAATGAACATGCAAGAATAAATGAAATTCTCCAATCTATTGATAGTAGAGAATTTAGCATCTGGCAAAATAAACAATCTATATTACGAGAAGAGGCAAAACTGAAACGTCTTCGCCTAAAGCTTTTTTTCCAATCTACCTCACACTCAGAAAAGGATAAATTGGCATCAATATCATATGATTATAATACTCATACAATTTTCTATGAAGCTTATGTGCAAGTTAAAGCAAATATAGCAAAAAATACTATGCCAAGTGCTCCAAATTTTGAGTCAGCTTATATTTTACTTACCAAAAAAGAAATGATTACACTAATTTCTTATCAGTTATCGAATTGCAAAAGTGATACAGGTGAAATATTTATCTTGTCTCGATATGCAAAACAGCCAAAAAGGCACTGTGTTGAGAATGTTGACTAATTCTGAGAAATATTCTACATTATAGACTATTGCTTTTAACTGAAAATTAATATTATTTAGCCAAAGGTGCAATGTATAACTTATTCTTTATTTTTTATGCAAAATAATCTGCATATATGATCACCTAGTAAAATTGGTCAAAGACATTATACATGAAATGTATCACCTGCCAAATTTTCCAGATTAGTCTTTAACCCAGATCCTGAATATTGTCTTAATAAAATAATATATTATCTACACCTTATGGCCTAGGCATGTGTGACTAAAGTTGCCTGCTGAAACTCTACAGGCTATTGTCGAAATGTTAAAACTAAAACCTGTCAAAATGCTGAAATGCCAAAATAGTTTTGACATGTCAAAATTGTCGAAACCTAAAAATATTACATTTCATGTAATAACTCAGTATTCAATGATCGTAGAAAGATGCACTATAGCTTGTTGAAATCATCTCATAACGATGAGTCCAATGGTGGTGAGATCGTCTTTTTATGATCACTGAATGCCGAGATATTGAGCGAAATGTCAAAAATTGGCATTTTGTATTTTGCAATACTGGGGTTCGGTATATTTCACCAAAAATCATTTCACCGACAATCAACTTACTAATAGTCATTTCACCAAAAATTATTTCACCGACAGGATCATTTCACCGACAGGATTATTTCACCGAAAATCATATCACTGAAAATCATTTCACCAAATTTTAATCTTTGATAACTGATAACATAGCCACAATTATTAATTTAATATTCAATAGTTTTTATTTTGAAAAATGGGAAGTCTGGTTCTAAGGATTAACAATGGTTAATCATGTTTATTTTTTTTTTTAGATATTTCGTTATTAACGTAATGTTTTTTATATTTTATCCATAGGAGTCATTTTATACCTTTTATAGTAGATTAACAACTACATTATTAAACCTTTTAACAATTTAGAATAGAGTGAACCACTCCACCTCTGACAGTATTTACAGGTGGCAACCGTTAGAGTTGAAAGAAAAATACGGATCATTTACATGATTGTTTTATGTATGGTAACCTACTACTAGATTATCCTGAACTTTTCTTGTTCCTGTCTATTCAGGCTTGGTTAAAGACCTGAATAGTTTTTTTATTTTTTATTTTTTCTAGTAAGGGTCCGCTCCATATTGGTTTGGACAAACTGAAGTTATTAGTTAGAATAGTGATGTGATTTTCATTGTAATTCTCCTTACTATTCATAAAATAAAATAAAATAAATAAATAAATTGTTTTATAATGCTATTTTTTTTTGTATTTTTTTTTACTAATATTTTTAGTTGTCGGTGAAATGATCCTGTCGGTGAAATGATCTTGTCGGTGAAATGATCATCAGTAAAACAACTGTAAGTGAAATGACCCTGTCGGTGAAATGACTGTCAGTAAGTTGATTGTCGGTGAGACGATTTTTTGTGAAATAAATGCGTCCTGCGATACTGTGCTGTTTGACATTTCACTTAATAACTTGGCATCCAATGATCATAGAGAAAGATGCACCATAGCTCGTTGGAATCGTCTCATAATGACGAGTAGAATGGTGGTTAAATCATCTTTTTATGATCACTGAATGCCGAGATAATAGGCAAAACATCAAATGGCGCAGTATCACAAAATACAAAATGCTGATTTTTGACGTTTCGCTCAATATCTCGGCATTCAGTGATCATAAAAAGATGATCTAACCACCATTTGACTCGTCATTATGAGACGATTCCAACGAGCTATGGTGCATCCTTCTACGATTTAGAGAACACCTACTTTTATGGAGGACTTTCGACAGGTAATATCAACTATCTAGTACCTTTTCATACCACCATTTTAAGTACAGGGTCTAACTTAAAGGCCACTACAGCCCACGATTATCCAGCACTGATAGTACAGTTATTTACCTCAAACAGTATACTTTGTAATGACCACTCAGACAGGAAGTAGCAGGCATTTCTGAGTTATTATATGAAACATAATATTTTTAGGTTTTGATAATTTTGACATGTCAAAACTATTTCAGCATTTCGACAAATCAGAGAGTCAATGTCAAAATGTCAAAATAGTTTCAAAAATTTTGACATGCCGAAACTTCTTAATTTTGGCAGGCAATTTTATAGGACCCCGAACAATATATATATAGATCAGATAAAAAATTCAAAATTTACTAAGGTCAATAAGCAAATATTTTTCATGTCTGCTAAGCAAACTTTTATCTAACCCATAAATTTTTTACACTTCTAAGCAATTTATTTTATGATATATATATATTTATATATAATTTTTTTTATAAAATATGTATATAAAAAAAACTAAAAAAACAAAAATTTTTGAAATAATATATGGATAAAGCTATTATTATTTTTTTGT